CTGCAGCGTGGCGATGGCGTGCTGCAGCAGGCCTGCAGTTCATGTAAATTGCATCTGGAGTGTATTTACCTTTCAGGTCAAAGACGAACATGAAAGGCTTCTTCGGTCCCAGCGGTGGGGACCGTAATGAGGGTGGGCTCTCCTCTCAGCAGTCAGCGCTTTGACCCACATTAGCTCTCTGCCCGAGGCCCGCTGAGGCAGGATGGAGATGGAGAATAATAGCTGGATATAGTGTCTAAGACGCGCATTGTGTATTGAATTATATTCACAGAGTTCCACAAGGCTCTGTGAAGTTCATAAACTAGAAGGGATTTAAAAAAAGAAAGCCATTAAGAGCCCTCGGCACGGATTCCAGAGCACATCGCAGCGCCTCGATGATCTACTCCTCAACATCTTAGTGCAGAGGCATTATCTTTATTACTGCTCAGGTTGCAGATGGCGCTAAACTTTCGAGACACTTTGAAGGGAAATCACTCAGTCTGCTTTTATTTATACAAGGTTCTGCACTGAAAGGCAGTTTACAGAGCGTTCAAAGACACAAACAGCAGCAAGAATCGTAGAAAGATGAATGAAGTGTTTCTAAAAACAATATAAAAAACAGAGTCGATGAAAACGAAAATAAAGTAATATGTTTTCTTTAAAATGTTAAAAGATACTTATTACTTGTTATTGATCTCCAGGTGTTTTACATTAACTAGATATAAAACAACAACAAACCACAGGTAGCTCAGATATAATAGGATAGAATTAATCCCCAGATGCCACCACAAACACAAATATACACAATACGGCGACAAAGACATCGACGCAATGTAAAAATATACACAACACGTCATGAATAGGTAACACCAGGCAGGGTCATTGAAGGGAAAGACACAGTAATTTGGGTTATTTTATCATCAGTGTGACTTCTTTTTTCAGTTGGGCTATCAAAACATCGTCAACATTTTAATGCCTGAAACAACTACAGATGATAACAACACAGTAAAGGAACAACATTTAGATTTTAAGGCGGTTTACATTCACTTCGGGACAGTTGAAGTTGTTTTTCGAGACGCTGGTGAACAAAGTTAGTCTGGAGCCCCAAAATACTCACTAGAGCTCCAATTATGTATTAATCCACAACTGAAAATTGAAGGAGACTTGAAACTAGAGATTGAGACCATAAACTCATGTTTACAATGTTTACTGAGGAAATAAATCAAGAGAGAAGTAGAGTCATTTTCTCATAGACTTCTATACAAACAGAGGAGTCGCCCCCTGGTGGACATTAGAGAGAATGCAAGTTAATACAAGTTGGGATGAGCAAAGGTTGTAGCAAGTACTTAAGTATTGGACGTCACACTTTGACCCGATGATGGCACTAAATAAAAAGTCAGAGAGTTTTATATTTATACTTTTGTACTGATAGTTGTTGAGATATTTCAATTTGGACCAGAGAGCTCCTCCAGAATCATAAAGGGCCTAATTCAACTGAGTGGTACTACTTGTGATGAGTAAACTGATCTTCATGCATCAGTGGAGGACCTTGGACGTAATCCGGGGTTTTGTAGGATCATGCGATCTCAACGTTTTCAGCTCATTAGGACAGAAAAAAGCCGTCAGGATGCAACAAAGACAGAAAGCACAGCCGAGAACAAGTAGAACAACCTCAGCTGGGATAGAAAATGCCTTTATATTGGTGCGATTCTGCACATTTTATGGATTTTTTTGCACATCCCCTGTCAGTTCGCATCACAAACAGATCCTCAAATGAAGATTAACAACCCGAAAAAAGTCTGATTTGAGCAGTAATTTGTAAAATTGTCAGCCTGCAGCCTGAATGAACGTTAAAGGAGACGAGTTCGTTGCTGGAGGTTTTCAGAGTCAATAACTACAACCAGCTGTGAAAGCCTGATTGTGGAGAATAAATGAGTGACGCCTTAAATTCAACAACTTCCATCAAGGTGCCCTTCAGCAAGGCACTTCATCCCAATTTGCTTCGGTAGCGGCAGCAAAGCCCGCACCAGTAAAAAGGGCTGTGGTGATTGGGAGGCTCCCGAGTGTGTCTCTGTGTGAAACAGAGTCTGCTTTCTCAGCAAAAAAAAAGACAACCTTCCCTGAATAATAATAAAAGATGGATGAGATACTTGTTGCTGCAGCACCACGAGACTCCACAGTGATGCATCTACATGACAGCTGGTTCACATTATGGACTCCATGAGCACACGGGATCCTCAGCAGTCAGTGCGTTCATTTCTGTTCTTTCACGCTTCTTCTGGTGTGAGCTCTGTAAAGAAGGCCATCAGAATTAAAGCACACTTAAGTCCTGTACAAACAGTACATTGCATGATGGGTAATCTGAGTGCAAGAGGCTTTAAATACTAGCAATGGTGGGACTTCACGGGGCAACATCGTGAAGTGGTTATATCCTCTTTCTTTGGGTGTGCAGCCTTTTGTTTCACCTCTCTTTGTTCCTCATTGTGTGGTTTTACAGTGTGGAAGATAACCACCATCATCTACTTAAACGTCTCTGCAAACCTAACTCTGGTGAAGGCAATACTAATGTGACTTAAACTTGCATTCTCTCTAGTGTCCATCAGGGGGCGACTCCTCTGGTTGTATAGAAGTCTATGAGAAAATGACTCTACTTCTCTCTTGATTTATTACCTCAGTAAACATTGTAAACATCAGTTTATGGTCTCAATCTCTAGTTTCAAGTCTTCTTCAATACAGCAAGATGTTCATTTAGTCAAATTATGGTCCATTTAGAGTCAAACAGACCATAAAGCAGGGTATGCTTTAGGGGCGGGGCTACCTTGTGATTGACAGGTCGCTACCACAGCGTTGTCCGGTCTGGGAGTTGTCCGTGTTTCCGTCTTACAACTTTAACTCTTTCACAGTGTGTTTTCAGTTCATGAAGTTAATTGTAACATTTTTGGTCGCCTAAAAATGTTTCACCTACTTGAAGCTCCGCCCTCTCGTGTCACTTTTGGTTGCACAAAACAAGATGGCGACGGCCAAAATGCTGAACTGAAGGCTTCAGAACTTCAGTCCACAAACCAACGGGTGACATCAAAGTGAGTCTATGGTAATAAACTACAGTTAAGATGTGTAGACACGTGACTGTTCAGACTGATCAGTAACATCACATTTACGTCGGAAGGGAGGAGAAAAGAAGAAATCCTTTCTGCTGCCGTATAAACAGAGAGCGCGACTGCCGGCCGCCTTCATGTGCAATTTAAGAGAGTAGTACCCCCTAATTTAATAAAAACCTGCTGCAGTGCTCCCAAGTCTGAGGACAAGTTAGTCTGTTCCTTTCATCATAATTTGCTATTGTTGAAGCAGCGTCGATGGAAATCCGGGGAAACGTCTGAATCGCTCAGCTTCATTCTTACTTTAGTTTTTTCATCCAGAAGATTTACCTGTAAACCAAAAGAGACTTGTGCTAATATTAAAAACTGCTTCCTTCTTTCATTCATAAAACAAAAGACAAGTGGAGGAATGTCCTCTGGTTCTGTGCTCTGGAGAGAGTTGAAGAGGAACCCTCCTATAGGACTCATTGGTATTCCTCTCTACCTGTTATCCTTTCACTGGCTCTAATCTAAAATGACTTCAGTCGTAGAAATGAGCTCACGGGGGCGAACACGCCGATAATTTGCTGAAGAAAAAATCACAAAAGAAAAGAAAAACAACTTGGCAGAGCAGCGTTTCTTAAACTAAAGCAAACAGACCCAACAAATGGTGCTTATTTATTCATAGACAAACCCTCATTTCCATATAAATGTACGTGACCTATGGGAGGCTTGTTTGTTGTTTAGATTCACTCAGAGAAAGCAAACAAAAATCTAATTTATTTGCGGTATTTCTTTCTGCATGTGGCCCTTATTTCGCCTTGTTAGATATTCTTTCGTCGCCTCAATATCTGATTTTGCAGGATGTGTGTGTGCGTGCGTGCGTGCGTGCGTGTGTGTGTGTGTGTGTGTGTGTGTGTGTGTGTGTGTGTGTGTGTGTGTGTG